CGTAATCCTAGGGGTCGCTGACTTCTTGATTCTGTATTCTCACTGGACTGCCTGGGCTTCCAGATGCCAGTGGCTAAGCAAGTATCCAGTTCCCACCCCCCCCCCTTTTCCGCAGAGGTGATGATCTGGAGCCCCTGTGCCTGGGAGCCGAGTGTTGGTGGTGACCACAGCCTGGGGACCTGTTCCCCAACGCTGGCTGTGCCAAGTCCCCCGATGCCCACCCCAACTATTTATTTCTTTTCGTGTGCCAGTGTGAGTGAGGGTGGGGCGAGGCGCCTCCTGCCACCTCCACGCATGTTGTAACCAGTATTCTGTACTTAATGAAAGTGCGTGTGACAGAAAGAAGAATGTACCATCAGGACTGGATATAGACTCATCAATAACCTGTGTTATGCAGATGACACAACCTTGCTTGCGAAAATTAGGGGAACTTGAAATCTTTGCTGCGGAAGATAAAAGCTTCCAGGCTTCAATATGAATTACCTCTCAACATTAAGATAACAGAAATCCTCACCACTAGACTTAGAGGCAACATCATGTTAGATGGACAAAAGATTGAAACTGCCAACGACTTTATTTTACTTGCATACACAATCAAAACCTTTCTTTGGTACCCGCAGTCAGGAGATCAAGAAATGTTTTGCACTAGGATTTCTGCAGTCAGGGACTTCCTCTCCAAATTCTTTAGAAGCAAGGATGTCAGTTTGAAGGTGTTGCTTTTAATGCTATGGTCATTTCTTTTGGTAGATTTGCATTTGAGAACTGGACAGTGAATAAGTATAATGGAAGAATTATTGATTTATCTGTTGGATAAAATGTTGGAGCAGGTGCAGTGAATGTGCCCCTTCAGGCAAATATAATACAGCTTTGTCTAAAATACTTTGGGCATGTTCCTGGGGGAGGAGCTTGGAGCGGCATATCATGCTTGGAAAGGTGGAGGGCCAGAGAAGGTTAGGAAATGACCCTCGACCAGTTGAATTGACGCATTGACTGCCGCAATGGGCTCAAGTACATAAGACTGGACAGGACACACAAGATAGGACAGCATTCAGCTTTGTTGTTCAGAGGGTTGCTATTCCTTGTAACAAGTTCAAGTCCAGAGTATGTAAGAGGATGTTTCAACATCTTTGTTTCTAAGGAGAATCCTGATTGTAACTTCTCTTAGTCACACTTGTTTGTTCTTTTTGCAATATATGAGATATTCATTACTCTTCTCCAACACCTGAGCTCAAAGGCATCAATTCCTTCCTTCTGTCATTCTTACTTGTTGTCAAACTTTCATATAAAGAACAAGCAATTGAAAAAATTATGTCTTGGAGCAGCTAATGAAGGAAGTAGCTACCTTTATAAAGAAAAGAAATTGGACAAATCTAGCCATCCATGTCACATACTGAATGGTATAATAATAAACATAGTAATACTTATACTACTACTACTACTACTACTACTAATCCTCTTAAAAGTTTTTAGTAATAGAAACTAGGTTATGGTATCCAGGTAGATAAAGAAGAGGGATATGTGTGTTCACGAAATATACGGTGTATACACTAGATATACTATGCAGTAGACTTCTTTTATTTGTCTAGTGGGTAAAGAAGATACACAAAAACATCAAATAGATATTCATTTCTGTTATTTTTATTACAAAGCAATCGTGAACACAATGGAACAAACTCAACTGAAGGGCAGAAAGTAAAAACATATTCCAAAATTATCAGAATATTCTTCTTGTATATCTGAAGGTGAGTTCTCTGTAAAGAAAGGACTACTGAGGAGGACCCAAAAGGATAGTAAGGACCTAGACATAACTCAGGTATGAGCTGAGCTGTCCTTCCCACCTGCTGATACATGGATCCTTAGCCTAGAAAGAAACTCAAAATAACTCTCAGTCTTTTCTAATAAAGTTTCCATTTACCAGCAGTGCAACTAAAGAAGAGGCCTAGACAAGTCCTAGAAGATCAGAGAGAATCAGGGTTCTGTTTGAGGAAATTTCAAAATGGGGACAAGCAAGATAAAAACTTCTTCAGAGTGTAATATAAAGAGTATTATCAGAATGAGCTTGAAGGGTATATTATCAAAGCAGTGTAAAAGCACTAAGAGTTTAAATTCCAAATACAGAAAGATTCTCTGGAGCAGAGTGTGAGGTGCAGAATAGTATGATCATCCAGTTTGAGGTAAAGTATAGAGCGACCACTGAGACCCACAAGTGGTCAGCCTTTTTAATAGTAAAGTACATGCCAGTGCATAAAACATTAATGTTGTTTGGAGTAGTGCTGTAATGCATCATAAAATAAAAATAATATTCATGGATAGAACTTTTACTACATGTTGAAGCTCAAGTTTCCACAGCAGCACAGGAAAATTGACCTTTCTTTAATTTCAATCATGTACATTAACAAATTTCTTATACTTAGCCTTAAGCTGTGTTCCCTCTTCATCCCACTCTTTTCCTTAGATATCTTCATATGCATCCAAGTGCTTATATTATATTGTGAAATCACATTCTTCTTTCTCCACATTCTGCTTCCTTACACAATGATTTCAAAAGAGCAATCTGTAAACAATGCTTCATATATATTCATAGATGTTGTTGTTAGGTGCCAGTGAGCTGACTACAACTCATAGTGACCCTATGAATAAGATCTAAACCTTCTTCATATCCTCTGCCATCTTCACAATCTCTGATATACTCAAACCCATTGTTACTTTTACTGTTTCAATTCATCTTGTTGGGGATTTTCTTTCTTTTTCTTTTTTTTAATCTTCTACCATTCCCAATATGATGTCTTTTCCAAGGACTGGTCTCTCTTGATAACATGCCTAAATTACGTGAGGGGAAGTTTCAGCATGTTTGCCTCTGAAGCAACCTGGTTGCACTGCCTCTGTGCAGAGATAGACATGTGTATTCTTTTGACAGTCCATGGGCTATTCTGTACTCTTCTATAACACCACATATCAAAGTCATTGATTCTGCTTCTGTCATCCTTACTCATTCTCCATCTTTCATGTGTATGTTGCTGTTAGGTGCTGATGAGTCGAGTATGACTCATAATGACACTATGAACAAAAGACCAAAACTCTGTTCTATCCTGTGCTTTCCTCACACTTGCTGATACTCAAGAGCCCCTTGCAGCAGGAGTCTCCATGTGGATCCCCCTGGTCAGGTGTATTGGAAATAATGAAAATGACAATGGCTTGGGTCAGACACATTTTAGTTGTTAAACTGACATTCTTGGTAATACATTTGAGAGGGCCTTGCTAGCACATATCTCTAATGCATCATGTCTTTTTATTTAGTAATTGTTATTACCCTGGTTTTGAGCATTAATCCACACAAAATGAAATATTTTCTGAGTCTATCAAGGTATTGCCTATCCTAGAAAAGAGGTTTTTGAGATATAATCCATATTGAAGGCTGTATCTTTCATCTTCTTCAACACGTTTTTCAAGTCCTCTTCATTTTTATCAAGCAAGGCTACATAATTTGCATTATGCAAGTTATTAATGAAACTTCCTCCAATCTTCATCCTCATTCTTCTTTATATAGTCCAGATTCTTGATTAACTCAAAACACAGATTAAATATAGCTAAATAATACAATCTTAGTTCACACCTTTACCTATTTTAAATTGTGCTGTAGTTTCTTGTTTCTGTAGGAAGGACAAGTTCTTGAAAGGGTATACCATGCTTGGAAAGATTGAATCTGGTAACAGAAGGAGTAGAAGATGCTCATTGAGATAAATTTCCATGGAGACTGAAATAATGGGTTTAATACAAAAGAGACTGTGTGAACAGAGCAGGATCAGGGCAGAGTTTCAATTTGTTGTACAAAAATGCCCCTATGAGTCAAGGTTGAGTTGGCTCAAGGACATTTAACAACACAAGTGAATCTTATTTACTTAAGTCCAACAATGCCACTCCTGCTTCCAAGCTACATATTTTAAAACATACAAAAAAATCTTTTATAAAAAATTTTTTATTTTTATTAATGAACATATACAGAGATTATGGATTTCCATTCATTCATTGTTGCACTTTCCTCCCTGCGCCCCCACCCCCAGTTTGCTCCTCTCTTTGAAAAGTAAGAGAAAAATTCTTTCATTGGTATATAATCTACCACCCCTCCCCCCCAAGTAGACTCACTATACAACCCTAATTCTGGACTCTTGTGATAACCATAATATCCTATCGTATATCACTTTTAACCTGTTCTCTCCCTTATCTGTTTCAATGCAGTATACTAATTTATCCAGTTTTTCTCAGTCTTACTCCAAACCTGATTTCAGTCCCATTCTAAAACATATAAATAAACATATAATAATTCCAATAAACATATTTTTTACCTTCTTCATTTTATTTTCATGAATATTTACAGAGACTTTGGATTTCCATTCATTCATTGTTGCATTTTTATCCTTCTCCACCCCTCTCCTCCCAATTCACTCTCTTCTTTAAAAACAATAAACATTTTCTTATCCTAGGATTTTGGAACTCCTAAAAGAAACTACACCATAGTTTTAATATAAATAAAGTTATGTGTGTTATTGTGAATACTATTCATGTAACTATTTGAATAATACAAAAGATAACATATACTTTAAGTTCCTTCTGAACAGCTTGGACCGTCTGGTTTGTGGCATGATCAGGAACAAGATGCAGAAATGAAGACCGAATCTGAAAATCTATCATCTGAGTCTTCTATAGAAGAGGATGGTTTCAATGGCAAAGGGGAATAAGGAATCAAGTGAAGAGGTGGATTAGAATAATGACCTAGAATTGAAGCCGATAAGCTTATTTAACTAATGATAAGAATCACCTATTTTTTCAAGAATGAATTATTTTTTCCAGTTAATAGTCAAACAATTTTCAATAGGTTGCTCTGGTAACATAGTTTTTTGGGAGTTATGCACTAACACAAATGTCAGAATTTTCTGGTGATTCAAATCCACAAGTGACTCTGAGAGAGAAGAATGGACAAACACTTCCTATGTGATTTATAATCTCTTAAAATTTGCAGGATGCTCAGTATAAATCGTTTCTGATTCCATGGTAATGAGATATTAAGCTAACTTTGTTAGGATTTGTTCTAAAATATAAGAATTTAACCTTTCAATTATTGCTGCCTAGTCAGAACAAACTCATTGCTGATCCTCCAGCAGTTTTTTTTTTGACATTGTAAATAAAAAAAGAGTTATCATATATCATATCATGTCTCTCCAGTGGGACAGCTGGTGGACTCAACCCTTTAGAAAGGCCTGGCCTTTCAGGTAGCAACACAGCCATCTGCAGGATATATCACCAGAATGGTCAAAAGATGCAACGAGGAAGGTTAAAACTCCAATGGAAATGCAGACAACAAAAATGTGGAAAAAATCAAATGGAAATGTGGACATATATTTCCATAAAATACATTTTTAATCATACATATTCACTATATGTGAATACTTTCAAAACTATGACTATTTCCTCAAGAATTCTCAGTTCTCCCTCTCAACATCTGTCTCTATCTCTCTATCTACCCACCCACTTATCACCCTGAGCTATTTGTCTTACAATGACTATCCAGTAGATTTCTTCATGGGAGAAAACTGTCCATTTTCCTCCCAGGGAGCAGCAGGGATTTTAACTGCCAGCTTTACAGCTGAAAGCTTGATATGTTACACACTATGTGACCAGGGCTCTTTTCTAGATATTTTCTGGCTGGGTATCATTAGGTTAGGCCCAACTCCTAGCTGACCCTCCAGTGAGATTTGGAAGCAGTCAATCTCATTGGAGGAGATTGCCCATATTTCTCCTTGAATCATTTTCCTCTGGGTTGGCAATGAAATTCCTTACCATTAAGCCACCAGTGATCCCTTTATCTATATAGGTATAGTTGTCTCTATTTCTGTATGATTGATGTTGTACAAATTCTAAAAATTGAATGTGTTTTATCTGTTCGCACAATTAAGCATGAAAATAATTGAGCTAATAATAAAACTAATATATAACCCATAAGGATACCATACTGTATTTAAGTCATTGTTCAAGTCTTTGACATTGGTATACAGCTCTAGAGAGATACAAAGCCTTCACTCACACAATGTTAGAAACTATTATTATATTTGTATACATTATTACTTGTGTTTTAGAATGTTTATTAGAAAAATTGCTTTCATTTCTATGAGATCATCATTCATGAATACAGACACTATCTGGTATGAATTGTATGCTCAATATTACTTTCTTCAATGGACATAGAATCCAGAAAATGACACTTGTCAATGTTTTGTTTTTTATTTCTTTCCTCAGATATATGGGTTTTTCTTGGAAATGCTTTGCACCATCCATTAGATGTGTTACTAGCCAAAATTAAAGACTCAAAACATTCCTTTGCTGCCGAGTATTCAGATGCTGTTTCTTCCAAAAGCATACTTGTTCCTCTTAATGAGAATGGTAAGACAATTGAGAAAATAGCAAATGTCCTGAATAATACGTGGTTATTTCACCTGAATCATACCTGCTTACTTCACCTTTTCTCAAATATCAGACTTCAGAGAAAAATGACTAGTACTAAGTTCTCTGGGGAGGGAAGTATAGGAAACATGCCTTCAAAACTAAGACGAATAGCCTAAGGATAAATTTTAGAACGTGAACATTGAATCTTTTACAGGAGAGGCATTAAATAATACTGATAGGGAATTTAATCAGAACCCTACCCCAGGGATATCATCACAAACTCATAAATCATACACTCACATTCTATGGTACTAGATATGGAACCCTTTTCACTTACTATCTCAAATACCTGTTCCTTCACACCTTTCAACTTGTCAAAGTCCCAGTATTATTTCACAGGCAGTCACAGCCTTATTCCTTAGTCCTCCACACAATTATTTCTGAGACTCATCTTTACAACCTCTCCCAAGATCTGATTTATGTCTTTTAGACTAAAATATATTCTATACAAGGTAATGAATTTCCTTTATAATCTTTCTTATCACTTGCTGTGTAATCCATAAAATCATCAGTTCTTCATAAAGCTGAACACTGAGTCTTTGCATACTCTTTTGAATCTTAAAGTTTGTTAGTTTAACACTGTGAATGTTAGGGAGAGTCTCCTTTTTTAGCACTTGCTCATACATACGGTCATGTTATTTAACAAATATATGTGCCCATTCACAAAGAGCTCTAGTAGTGTAGACTTTAGGGAGTTGTACTGATAATCTAAAACTCATTCGTTTCTGACTGTTAAAATCGACCAGTAGGTCAGTGAGAGAAAGATGGGCTCTCTCCTCCTGTGTGATTTATATACTTAAAAACTCAACGGAAGATTAACTATGAGTGAGTTCTTACTCAATGGCAATGAGTTTGAGCTTTTAATTTAAGGTTTTGTTTTATTTTTTGCTTTTGTTCCTTGTTTCTTGTATTGGTTTCTTCCCCCACTTATTTCATTCATAGTTGCATTTTATAAACATCAGATGCATTAACTAAATACATCCCAGAGAATCCGTACAACTCCATAAAACAAATTTCCATATAATTATGCTACTTAGACACCTCAGATAGTACCATGTATATTCACAAAATAAATGCTTGTCTACATGTCTATATATAAAGATTTTTGTGGTAATTTTAATCTTAACTCTTACGAACTTCATATAT